GACAAAACACGGCAGAGGCACGGGTCTTGGGTTACTGGATTGTAACAGTAATTAAATAAAATACTTAACTTCTGTCCTAAGGATCCAGACCTCTATATTACCATACCAATAGAGAGTACTATAGAAGGATTGGTAGCCTAATTTGGTGGTGTACGACATTAATGCTTGAGAACCATGAAATAACATCCTGGTTGTGGCAGCAGGTCCTGTACCTGGTTGAGATACGAACTAGGCCCTTAGAGTAACATCCTGAGGACACCAAACTGGAAGTATCAAGAGTGCCCACTCGAGAGACACCAATTTGGAAGTGGTACAAGAAACGAATTAGGAGTAATGTGATAAGTACTGAAAGGTAGAAGTTGGCTGGTAGACATTGTACAGTAGTATATATAGTGAGATATATATAATAAGGTTTGAAAACCATCCGTTGTTTGAAACCCAGTCTAATAGCAGGATAGTTGATAATTAGGTATAGCAGGTCGCACATAGGTGCTAAGTTAGTAACTGGGTAAGCCTTTTCTGTAAGTAATTAAAAAATTTACTAAAAACAATTTGTCTTTTCTATTAACTCTACTTTATAATTACTGTACTATGTATTTGAGATTCTCTATTAATAAGGAGACATCCATAATTTACGTTAAACCACTATTGTTATAGGAATTTTAAAGATAATACAAAAATAATACTATATTGTATTCTATACTGGTTTAACGTAAATTATAGATGCCCCTTAATTATAATATGTATACTATATTTTATATAACCAATAAAATTCTTGTTTTAGTGATAACCTTTTAACCCGAAAAAAAATTTTTAAATAAAAATTTATATTTTTAAATCAAGATTTTTAATTTGTAACTTTAGCTATAACAATTATTCTTGGCAAAAATCTAGTTATAACTTGTACCTATTTGAAATTCTACTATTTTAAAATAAACTTTTAAATTTGGTACGTACGTATTAGTAACTTATAATTTATATAAATCAAAATTCTTAAACAAATACAATCAAAATTTTTTAAATTAGAGTTTGAAGCCGGTTTTATTTTTTATACAGTATATTAAAACCGGTCTTAATTAGTTTAATATATGAAGCATAAAACCGGTTCCAAATTTTTGCCGATCTCTCGCTATCGTTTATCGATATATAGATATTAATGCTATATAATTACTTTCTTAGCAGTAACCAATGCGATTTTATATAATCGCCTTCCCGACTATATTATTGTATAAATTATACATATTTATATAAAAACGTATATATATACCAATCCAATTAGGATCGGATCGGATGCGGTATAGCAATATCCAATGTAAAATAAATGTTATTTGTTTTGAATGTTATGCGTTATAGTCAGATTTTGGTATATAATGATTTAGTATAGAAAGAGACAACTGTAATTAAATTTTTTAACATTATGCTATGTAATAATAATATACTTTTATTTTACAAACAACACTTGAAAATTGAAATTTTAATTAAGATGAAACTTTTTTTTCAGTTCTATAATTATATAAATAAATTAAATATTAAATATATACAAAATATTATATAACTAATAAAAAAGCTTACCACTACATAATATTCATAAATTTATACATATACAAGGTTTTATGACAATTGGTTTGCAGAGGGGCAATTGATTTGAGGTATATTCTAATATCTCTAATATTGCAAAAAAAAAGAGAAAATAAAAAAAATCTTTTTTGAAACAAATTAATTAACCAATCATCTAATGTTTACATGAATTTAAAGATAAAGACCAAATTTTAGGTCCGAAAATTAAAATCCGTTTTGTATTTCTTCTCCACCTTTCTTCCATCTTCTCCATCCATCAAAATCTATTAAAGCCTGCATACATCCCCATTCGTTAATCTTTTTCTCCAGCCATTCCAAACTTACAGGTTTTGTCAGAAAATCATTACACCCTGCAGCTAGGGCATTCTGTCTGTCGGACGGTAATGATGATGCCGTTAGAGCCATTATGATGACTGGTGAACTCAATGCAGGTGTATCAAGAGATTCTTGAGAAGGTGTAGATGAAATTGATGATGGTGATGAGGGGTTCGAAAATACTGGTGGTGTAGAAGGAAAAACTCCTATTTTTTGTGATTTCTCAAGGCGCCTGATTGTTTTTGTCGCCTCTATCCCGTCCATTACGGGTAGTTGAATGTCCATCTGAAATAAAGCTTTGAAATAAATATTTGCTGACATTCATAATCTAATTATGTTTCATATTACATACCAAAATCAAGTGAAATCCTCCTTTTTTCCATTTATCAACAGCTTCTTGACCATTAGAAGCGCATTCGTATTTGATATTCTTTTTTCTCATAAATGTTGATAAAATTGCTTGATTGATTGGATTATCTATAATAATAATAATAAAAATAATAATAATATATTAATTCGATTAATTCAGTAATATTTACTAATACTGCCTTAATTATTACATTAATATTTACCTTCTACAATTAATACATTGATTGGAGGAATTACATAGAAAGAATTTGTTTTCTCTCCAAATATTCGATTTCCTTTTTCTTTTTTTTTTCGAGGACTTGGTGTTACACTTTGTACAGGAGGAGTAACTGGTTGAGGGGGTGTAGTAGGCGGTGATACAGGAACACTAGGAACAGCAGAAGCAAGTCCACTAACGACATCAGGGCTGCCATTATTAGCATCGTTAGAAACTGATTCAGGAAAATTATTACTGCCAGGAACTGCATCATTAGGAGTTAAATGTCTAATAGGTTGATACGGCTCGCCTCTTACTAATTGAGGATGACCTGAGCTAGGACTACTATTAACGCTAATCACCTTCCTATCCGTCCTATCTAAACCTCTTGTTTTGGGTCTAGGGATTACCACTACACGACCGCTAGGCCTAGGACTCAGTGGATTAGAAGAGGGTGTAGTTCGATTTGAACCACCAGCAGACGGAGTAGATGGTCTTTGATCCGGGAAATAATTATCAGGTGGATTTGCTATCTGGTCCATCGGATTGACTTCCATGTCAACATAATATTGTGAACCTGGACTCATAGGTGATGTAGCGATTGGCATATAAACTGGATCTACAACTATTCTATTCATAGTAGTATGAAGAGCAGTGATAAACCGTCTTGGACCTGCAGGTTTAGGTATGACTAAAACTTGAGGTAATATGAATGAAGTAGTAGTTGTTGAAACTAAATAACATTGAATAATATCCTTCACGTGTTTGTAATTGGTAAGAGATGTGAAATGAATAACTGCTGTCGTTTGTTGTGGAAGTGTGGGAGCTGGGGTTTGACGTTTTGGACGAACTTGCTTTTGATTTGTTGATGGAGTTATACTACCCGAAAAAGGTACATTTCTAAGTTGTTCTAACTGTTGCTTTAGAGTGTCAATATCATCGTCTATTATAATGAACTTAGGGGGCAAAGAATTGGCGGGCTGTGGTATATTTAGTTCATTGTTTTGTGCTGGTGCAGATTGAGGATCTTCTACAACAGGTGTTCCTGAACCAGAATTCATAGGTGAATCATTTTGGGAAAATGGTGTCTCTGGATCATCTTCATCTCCTATCGGAACATGAGATATATCCGTACCCCAAGTAGTTAAACAACTGGTAATACGTTTTGCAAAGAAACTATTACTAGTAGCATGTAGTGCAACTTTTTGTCCTCGCATGCTTTGTGTTGTCTTTTTGAGTTCTTCGACAGAAGGTTCACCCGTAATACGTGAATGTGGATAACGACGACGCATCTCTTCTGTATTGTGAGTGTTTGGAGTTGTAAGAGGTGAACCTGCTTTAAGGTCTATATTGATTTTAAATCGTTGTTGACCATGCTCTTCATTAGCATTAAGGGTAGCCCCCAAGAAATTCAATACTTTAAATGTCAAATTGGCATCAGGACATACCGTCACTGGTATTGATTGTCCAGAAACATTTGAACCAAGGTTGTGAATTATTTCAATTGTGCAAGTAACTTTATCATTAGGTTTAATTACACGTTCAGATGAATCAGATTGTTCAGATGCTCGCACTTGAAGACTTAATTCTATGCAGGCACCAGGACTTGCACCACTAAGTATACATTTAATTAAACTCAAGAGGACGTGTCTGAAAGCAGCTTCATCACCAATAACATTAAGATGGCTCAAACCATATTCATATTCAATATGATATACAACCAATTCAACGTTTGCACAAGAAGCAACACCGGCCAGTGAATCAGCAACATGTTGTATCAACTCACCGATGTCAAACTCACGTTTTACATTAGTAATTTCAGGATTACTAGGCTCGGAAAATAATAGATAAGAAAGTGTTCCCAAATGTGAAGAAATATAATTAATGGCTTTTATCGTAGTATAAATGGCGCTTATCGAGGCGGTAGGAAAAGAGATTGAACAAGCTGATAATTGTTCATGAGGTTTTGTTAGTAAATGAGAAGGAGACAACTGTTTGAGAATACCCATAGCCAAATTTGTTGTTTGTTGTAATTGATCAGATATAGTACGAAGATATAATCCTTTTCTTTCACTGAATCGATCTATCGCCATATATACCGACCTTTGAGCATTGTCACGTTCATCTTTGAGTAGAGCACGCTTACGATAATTCTCTCTTTGATAAGCTATATAAAATTGTTCAAGTAAAACAAAAGCGGGCACGCTGAGTACTGAACCATAAGAAAGAATATTCTCAGATGCTGAACCAGAAAAGATGCCATGTAATAACTGATTATCAATAATTGAATCAGATTTATTCCAATTCATAAGTGTAGAAAAATGAGCCAGAGCTTGTATAGTACATATCACTATTGCAATATTTTTTGCATATGATATTAAGTCTTTGAGTGGTAAGCTAGATTTAATAAAACAATAAAGGCAATAAGCCCAGATCGCGGCACATTTAAAATAAAATATAGCCGAAGAAATATTAAAAATATATAATAAAATCAATCGGTTTTTCGCAGCCATAGATAATAAAGCAGCAAAAACCGAAGAAAAAAAGCACCAAATAAAAATCAAATGCGTAGCTCTGTGAACAAAGCTTAAAACAGAGTCAGAAAGGAATGCGTCCGGACAATTATCACCAGGTAAAAATTCTAATGCATTGACGGACGTAAGCTTGATGTATTTTTCTTCATATGGTTCTTTAGGTGGAGTTTCACACTCTTCATTTTCAGAACTTTCCGAGGCCGAGGATCTTTCATTAAACGAATTGTCAAATGGAGTAGTTATTAAAGAAGAAGTAGAGGAAGAGTTACTAGCATCATAATCTTCCTGAACAGACATGTCACTCTTATTATAGTGAACTTTTTGATAAGTGAAGATTGGCTTATAGCAAAGTTTTTGTTTTTTTTTTTTTTTTCAGAACAAACTCAATATTAAATATTCGTTCTATATATGAAGTTAAATAGTAAACTCTTTGACATACGGTGAAGATCTTTCTAAACGGATATAATAAAAAATCAATAAATAAATCGTGATATAGTTAAAGATTGTATCATGTGAAAATTTTGACCACTCGTATTAACGAAACCGGCACGTTGTCATACCCAACTTGAGTATGTAACGGTAAGTTAAATGAACAGTGAATGAGTGATCAACTCACGATAGACTCATCTTTTTGAATCTTCCAGATTTGGTACCGTCGGCTTTAAATCTTTTTGTATCGGCATAATTTCAGTATATTTAGATGAGATTTTGAAGTTAAGCCAATCACCAATTAGCTTATTTAAAAAAGAATTTTAAGAAATCGGAATGGCTCCATTTTAATTTATATTTGAAAATTCATTTTATCGGGCTCGGCCCCTGAAGATTCAATTCTATATGATTAACCATTTTACTTTGTGTATAAATTTGATCACACATAATCACTATGGAATCAATTTACAGGGGCCGGATCCGTTAAAGTGAATCATTTTTTCTTTTTATCATTCATTTATGATTATATTTAAATTATATAGACAAAGTAAAATTTAAAAAGCTATTTTCTTGAAATCTGTCTTTAATAACGATAACTAACCTATTATACTGTATATTGGGTATATATTACATACGTATTATACTGTATATATAATATTAGTAGTTGACTCTAACGCTAAGTCAATATAAAAATCAGCTTAGCCGACTTAGTCGACTAAGATCAAATCAGAATTCGAATGTTTCTTAGAAGTTCTATAACGTAAATTATATATCGATTATAATATTATAAATTTTGAATATGATCAAGTTCTACGTATTAATCCGATGTTTCAAATCGATCGACTTAGTTAATTCAACTAAACAGATTAACCATAATTAGCGTTAGATTATAACACTAACATAATATAATCGTAGTACAATAAGATTTATAATTTTATTAAAAAAAATAAATAAATTATTTTTTAGCGTGAGATTTTACTTAAAAATTGTAAATCGATATCTTTAAAATGGTTTAACCTCTGCTCAATTTTAATTTTGTAAATAATATATTGATATACGTAGGTACAGTCAACTCCCGCTATAGTCACACTGTCTGGCAGAAACTTGATGTGACTATAGTGAGAGAAACATAATAATAGTCACATCATGTGATTATAACGAGAGTTAATTTTATATTACTTTAAATGATTGGGTGTGACTATAGCGGGAGTTGACTATAGTAGTTAGTTTTTTAATTTATTTTATTACTCTAACTAAAATAACAAATTTTTTATTTTTAAATTAATTATATACTTTTTACAAAACGCACCTATAGTGTTTTACCATTTATGTTACAATATTTCTAATAAATTCTATAATTAGTATGCGATACTAAGTAAAATTCCCTATGTCTACCCTAATATGAAAAATAAGAAATTTGAGCCAAAAATTTTATATACAGAAGAACTATAAAAAAAAACATACATTATACTGTATATTGTATACTGTATAATACAGTACGTGCAAAACCGCGTTTTATAGTAAATGGTAAACTATAAAAAATAATAAAATTTAGATTTTAAAGCTTTTATTAATACTGTATTTTATACTAAAAATAATAAATTTTATTAATATTTTTTTTTACTTGCTTAGTAAAATAATAGATTTAACATACTGTATTTTATATATCTATACTTTTTCTATTTTAAACCTTAAATATTATGCAGCATACTGTAAATATATATTTTTAAATATTTTATTTTTATTTGATGGGTTGAGAATTGGAATTTTCATAATAAAATATAAATTTAAAGATAAAATTTTTTTTATATATATTATAGTATATAGTGTGAGTTATCTTTATGTTTGTTGTTGTAATATGTAAAGTTTAAATAAAAATTATGTAACTCCCTCCAGTTAGGAAATCCTCACGTTAATCTGTAATCAAAATAAAGTTTTTATAAGTGTTTCGGACTAGAGAATTGTAATATATAGTTATTGGGCGCGTAGTGACCAAAAACTACAGTTATTTGGCAAAAATTTTTTGATGGATAATCCGCGCGGCCAATAACTGTCCATCAAAATATTTGCCAAATAATGTTATTATTCATCAAAGATTTGTTAGATGCGTTCGGCCGTGATAGCGACCTAATAGCACAACAGATCTCTGACGAATAATGCAGCTATTGGTCACTTACGTGCCTAGTTACGGTATCATCCTTCTGTCTACGACGATCTGCATATGACGTTCTTATATGAGTGCCGCCAAGGGAAAACCTGTCATCAGGCCTTCAATTATATTTTGTATTGGATACTGTATATTATCTAATAAATTAAATAGATTGTGTCCAGTACGAAATATTGCCCGATGACAGGTTTTTCCCTTGGCGGCACTCATACGGCACTCATATGATTGAAATTATTGATTGATTGATGCAAATCATAGTAGGCTGAAAAAAAATAATAAGAGTTACGTATCTGCATAACTTGTGAAACATCTATTAAATTGGGTCATATTGCTACCCGGTAATATAGATTAATTATACTATATATATATCAGATATGTATCATGGATAGAATTTTATATCTGTATATGGGGATAGTTGATGTTCATGGTGCTTAAACTAGGTGTTGATGTTCATGGTACAATCCAAGAGGATTTTATTTGAAAGATAAATATTTACTGTATGTTATTTAAATGTCCAAAGTGTAGCAAAAGTAGAACCCATGGGAAATGCCATCAATCAGAATTTTATTACGGTTATGACCGAATATTGGGCTTATACTGTGTTATATTAAGGTGTTCTTTTTTTTTTTTTTGCAATGTCTGTTAAATCCAATTGGACCAGTGTCTGAATAATATGCGCGTCAGTCCGTAGTTATTTCACTCTTAACTTTTTTTCATATATTCATATTGTATGTGAATATAGAATTCTGTGAATAAATTAATCTCTTATGGTCATCTAATTCCATTTTGATACATACGCAGCAATATCTACGTATTCCATTATCATTTTCCCATTTTTGGAAAATTTTTAATAACGAACGAATTTATTATATAAAAATCGGTTTTAACTCCAACTCATTTCGATAACAATTGCTGAGTACAAATATTCTATTGAATCACCTATATTAGAAAGTAAATGAACGTTTATGATTATTTTGATGATAATAAAATGAATATCCTATGCTAATTCACTTCAAATCACTTGCAGGAATCATTCGCTGTTTCAATGCCATTAGAATATACTAGGAAACGGTATTCCGAAACGCCGCTTCATTTGGAACAATGTTATTATCGTATGACTAATATCAAATTACAATTTGTCGGTGTTGTTTCTTTTTTACAATTCGGGAAAATGCGCTATACTAACTATGTTACATTATAAAACCATCTGTTTCCAATTGTACCATCGTTGGGTATATGATATTGAAGAAACCAATACGTACTACTTTGTTTACAGAATACGATATGACTTAGCATATGAATGATAAATTTAAACAACGACATGTCATATATTACCATGTGACAATAAATCATGATTAAAGATTGTGCCCGGGTAAAAAATGTTATAATAAATTACCCGGTTAATCGGGTAATTTAAAAATACTCGTGTAGAAATTTCTTGACGATCCCTCATGATTCGATAATGATTGACAGGGACAGTAAATACTTCCTTATTCTGATATCACTACTGGATGCTGAGTACATAACTTATAAAATGAATTAGAATTTTTGATTAACTGGGTCAATTAACATATGATTAGGTATGATTTCAAGAGTAAATTATTAATAGTGATATCGAAATAAAATGGAATTGACTGTTGGATGATCAGCAATTCGGAATTTTTATGTCCATGACCGTCGATGTTACACGACTGGTTTTTCACGCGGTGTGAAACACATAAAAAAATTATTTTACAATACTTGATCGGA